TGAATTTGTCATCCTCCTGCCTCAGCCTCCCAAGTAGCTAGGATCACAGACATGCACCACCATGCTGCTCCCCCAACTTACTTAGGGACCTCAGCTCTGTTCCCACCTGGACTGGTAACTGTCATGGGTGGCCACGGGTGCAGCGGGAGGGCAATGGCCATGAAGAGCAGCCTGCAGGCAGTGGGGACATCCCGGGAGCCAGGACAGGCCGCCAGGGAGCACCGGTGCGGGAGCTCTGCGTGGCTGTGAGCAGACTCCAGAGAGGACCCTCCAGGCAGGTCTGTGGGCGCTGCTGCTTTGCTTCCTTGGGCAGCTGCGAGTTCTCTTTGTAAAGAGGAGGTACGGTGATGTTGGCGATCTCCGCCTTAAAAATAAAGCTTCAGGTGACTCCTGGGACAGCTGGGGGGGTCTGAATGTAAAGAAACTGAATTAGAACACCGTATCCATGTGTCCACACCACATCACCTGATTGTGTCAAGGGGACAGTGACCGGGCAGAAGTCCTCGTCCACTGGCGATGTGAGCTCAGGATTCAGGGCTGAGCGGGCCCTGTGTCCCGTAGCTGATTCACACAGGGCTCAGACAAACGCCAGACACAGACCATCACAAACCCTGTGTGGCAGAAGGTACCTGAGAGAAGGGGGTTATGGTACCACTCTTGCAAGTTTTTCTGCAAGTTTGGAATTCACGCCTGTAATCCCAGCACTCAGGAGGCTGAGGCAGGAGGACTGCCGCCAATTTGAGGCCAGTATGAAACCCTGCCTTAAAAAAAGGGCCAGAAAGGGGCTGGGGATTTAGCTCAGCGGCATAAGTGCCTGCCTTGCAAGCAGGCAGTCGTGAGTTCGATCCCTGGTACCGGTAAAAAGGAAAAAGACAAAAAAAAAAAAAAAAAAAAAAGGGGCCAGAAAAATAAGAGTTTTAATCGTTAGGCCTGCTACTCCCAGGCAAAGGGAGATTTGTTACATGTAGGTAGAATCAGGGCCACCCTTGAGGCCCATCTACGGAGGACGATTCTCAGGGAAGCCGCTGCAGGAAGGGAGGTTCAGTGCTGTGCACTGACTTGGGTCTGAAAACACCCACAGGCGATTCTGGGGAACAGTGGTGGGGCCAAGGCCTCCTGCCTGTGGCTGCTGGCCCCAGCCCCTCCCCCAGCCGCAGCCCCAGCCCCTCCCCCAGCCGCAGCCCCAGCCCCTCCCCCAGCCGCAGCCCCAGCCCCACAGGGCCACCTGGCTCTCACCGCAGGGCATGCAGGATGCCAATGGCCAGAAGGAACAAGCAGCCATTTACCAGAAGCCCAGGCTGGTGTCTGACTTGCTGGGATCAATAGAGTGAGGGCGGGGGTTACGAGACATCTGACCCCGTGCTCTGGGGTGCTGCCTGAGAACCGCATGTCCCGTTCCTGTCTCTGCTAGTGATCAAGAGGCCACGTTGCACGATGCTCCTGCATCCAACTGTCAGGATCCCGTCTGACCCAGACGAGGCCATCTGGGAGGAGGTGTCCACTCTCCTCTGCCTCTGCTGGAGAAGACAGGCAAGAAACCAGCTCTTAGGGACTCAAGGAACTTGCTAGAAGGGTCCTGGGAGCCTCGGGGGCTCACGCCAGTCTCTTCTACGGATCCGTGCCGGGAAGACCCAAGGGTCAGCGGTGGGAGCCAGAAAGTCTATGCCGGCAGGATGAAGGAGCTGTGCTGGTGGGATGAGGGTTCTACACTGGAGCCAAGAAGTCACACTCACAACAAAGAGCGGGGCTGTCCTGCAAGGCACCACAGCCATCCTCAGTGACACGAAGGCCCCAAGCTCCTCCGATGACAAGCACAGTCGGGTATATGTCAGGAAGCAGCATGACGAGTTCATCCTTTAGACCAGGCAGCACATGTCTTCCCCTCCGGAGCCAGGAAGCAATGCTCAATTTTAAGACCAAAGCTTCTCCAGGAGAACCAACAGCTCAGACAGCAACTCGTAGGAGAACCCACAATGCCTCCTTAACACCTCAACCCTCAACACCTCCCTTCTTCTCCACCTATTTATCCTGGCAACCCTCCTCAGGTGGAGCATCTTCTCTCAATGCATGCTGATGTAATCCAGCTGGCGTTAAGTTGACCACCAGTTCTCAAACCAAAACACACGGTGAGTTATGTGCACTACATCGGGAGACCCTGCCCCCAAATTTTCAAATAAATAAATGACCGAGGGATCTCGGTTCACAAACTTCATTTGTTGCACGATTCCGGGAAAGACAGGCACGGACATGTTAGTTCAGGAAAGGTGCTGGTCATGTTCATCACTCGATGAAGAGTTAACAAGCACAAGCAAAATACTGCCACACATTTCTGTTTAGGAGCCAACTTTCAGGGGCCAGGGATACAGCTCAGCAGCATAAGTGCCTGCCTGGCACGCGTGAGGTTGCAAGTTCGATCCCCCATAGGAGGAAAAAAAAATGAGAAACCAAATTGCTCAATAATAAAAGCGCTGGGGATCTGACCTCTCTCTCTCTCTCTCTCTCTCTCTCTCTCTCTCTCTCTCTCTATCTCTGTCTCTGTCTCTCTCTGCCTTCCCTTGTGGCTTGCCTGCACCTGCCCTTCCCCAGCCCCCCAGCCCCCCCCCCCCCCGCCTCTGCTCCGTGACCCCTCCCCAGGAAGCCCCTGCTGTCTCCCGCCCACACGAAGCGGATTCCTGCAGCCACCTCTGCCCTGTCCTTCATTTACTCATCCAATACTCATTTGGCCTAACTGGTGTTGTGTGTTCTGGGCCTTTAATACCTCTTAACCCCATCTCTCCCCTACCTACCTGCAGACCCCTTGGTCTCTGCTGCAGCCCTCCGGCCTCGGATCCACGTGATGGGACATTGGACCTCAGCTGGCCTCGTTGGGAGGCGGTGGGACCTTTAAGAGGTGGGCAGAGCGGGCGGCCCTTATGTCACAGGGGGTGTGTCCGTAAAGGGACCCCTTAGCTTTCCAGTGCTGTTAGCTCTTACCAGAGGGCTGACCAAAGACACAAGCCTGGTCCCCTCCCTCCTCCTCTGCCATTCAGTGATGTCCATCAGGTCCCCACCAGAGCTGAGCTAATGTGAGCGCCACGCCCCGGAACCTAGTCTTTCTTTATAAAAAAGGCAGGACACTTCATTACAGTAACAGAAAACTGACTGATACAGACTAGGTGTGATGGTGCACACCTGTAATCCCAGCACTTGAGAGGTTGAGGCAGGAGGATTGCTGAGAGTTTGAAACCAGCCTGAGCCACATAGTGAGCCCGTCTCAACCCTACCCCCTCAAAAAAAGACAGAAAATGGACTGATACCACTTCCTTTCTGTTCCTTGAAGACACTGAGCGCACTCCTGCCCCAGGACCTTTGCACGTCCTCACCTGGGATCTGCACAGTGGCTCATTTCCTTTGAGTGTCTGCTTGATGTCACCTCCTCAGACAGGCCTTCCTTGTCACCATCTTTCTGTTTCACTTCTCCCTACCTGACATTACATCTATACCTGTTTCTTGCCTGTCCCTTTTACAACCGAGGGCAGGGCCATCACCACCTTGTCCATAGTTTGTTGGCCAGCATTTTGCAAGGAGTCCAGCCCACAGCAGGCCTCAGGACAGACCTGGGGAAGACATGAGTGGAGGATCTACCTCAGTGCGACCTTCCAGGGCTCTGTCCTGCTGGACACCCTGCCTGGCTTCGCAGCCCGAGTCTGGGAGCTGGTGCTGCCAGAGAAGAGGGAACTGCGGTGACAGAGCAGGTCAGGAGCTGCAGAGTGCGGGACAGCGCTTCCTCCCACCTCCATGGCCAAGTGTCGCCAGCAGCCAGGTGCCATGTCCCTCTTCACAGCCTGCGCAGCTGCCTTCCCCCATCTGGCAGGTGGACGGGGCCTCAGCTGGCTCAGTGCTGGCCTACAGCCACTCGGCTGCGAGAGTCCAAGCTTCAAAGGTTGCTCCTTCGACCACGCATCACCACGCTTGAGGTCGGCACCCACCCTGGGTCTGGTTTCACTTGTTTTCTCTTGCTGGCTTTGTCCTAATGTGGTTGCCAAAGTCACCTGTTTGGGTTTTTTTGTTTGTTTGTTTTTGAGTCAGGGTCTCCCTCTGCAGTCCAGGCTGGCCTTGAACTTGTTTTGTAGCCCAGGCTGGCCTCAAACTTGCAGCGACTCTCCTGCCTCAGCCTCCCAAGTGCTGGGATTACAGACAACATGTCATTTATAGGCCACCCGACAGCTCAGGAACTCTAACACGCATCTCGCACACAGGATGCCCACAGCAGAACTCAGGGTCCCCCGCCCTAATCTGGGATGCATCTTGATTTCTTCCATCTCACTGGCACCTCCTATCCACTCCTCCTCCCAACAGCCCTGCCCTTCATGGCCTCCCGCTTGAGGCTGTGCAGCCACCTCCCAGTATCCAAGCTCCAAGCCGCAGAGCCAATCTCCTCAGGCACCCATGGGAGCCTATTCAAGTGCAAAGTCAAGCCTGGGCCCAATTCTTCAACAGCACTGCCCTGGGAACTCTCCTAGTGGTAGAAACGTTCTCATCACAAACCTCCAGCCACTGGTGGCCACTGAGCACTGGAGACATGCCTCCCATAGCAAGATGATTAAATTATATCTTCTGCAGTTTAATTGATGTAATAGCCACTGGGCTGGCAAGGCTGTGGGAAACAGGTGCCCTCAAGCAGCTGCTGAGAACCTATGTTGGTAAATGATCCCAGTCACAATACCTACCTACTGGCCAGCTGGATAATCCACCTCCAACCACACAATACAGGCATTTAACATCTGCCCCAGCAGCCCTGTCCTGAGAGGGGATCTGATCTCCCTGCGGGAGCACAGCGGGACATCCTGTGGAAAGCACCCAGCTGGGTAAATTACTTCCAGCCACACCACGGAATATGAAGCAGCTGGTAATCAGTAAGACACCTGGGCCGGGGATATAGCTCAGCAACAAAGCACCTGCCTGGCAAGTGAGGTCCTGAGTTCGATTCCCAGTACCAAAAAAAAGTGAGACACTTAAAGTACAATAAAAGAAACAAAAAATTGTTTATTTTATTTTTGTCTTTTTTGAGACAGGGTCTCACTATGCAGTTGAGGCTGGCCTTGAGCTCACTTTATAGCCCAGGCTGGTCCCGAACTCACAACAAACCTCCTGCCTCAGCCTCCCGAATGCTGGGCTTACAGGCATGAGCCACTACGCCCACCTTGTTTAGGTTTTCTTCAGTATAGTTGAGAGAGAGAGAGACACAAACAAACCCTTTACTGGGCTCGGGAGATCTGCAGAAGAGTGCAAGATCCTCAAAAAGGGGAGCTTGGGAACGATTTTTACATTTTTACGTATTTGTGCTAAGGTGGAGATAGGAGAGAGCTCATCCATGCACAAGAAGAGTGGGAGGTTTTCCTTGGAACTAGAAGGAACAAGACCGAAGTTACTCTTGGAGAGATAAATTGTTTCTCCTGGCAGGTGCAGATGTCTGCTAGAGATAGCTAAGCCCCAGGCTGGTAGAAGCTATCAAAAATGTGTTGTTCAAAGGGCACTGATAAGAAAATAAAAAGAAAGCCAACAGGATGAGGGGAAATATTCTCAAATCTGATGAGGGATTGGTATCCATAAATACATAAAGAATTCTTACCATTCAACAATAAAAAGACAAAAAATCCCAAATGGTTAAATAAATATTTCTTTTAAAAAACAGGTATGTTAATGGTAATAAGTACACAGAAAGATTCTCTCCATCATTAGCCACTAAGAAAACATAAATCAAAACACAAGGTGCAGCTCACCACGTTGAGCTCAGAGAAGTCATGCCCCGCAGTGAGCCAGCCACTAGGGCTGGAGGAGGAGAGGCCATGCCCCAAGGCCCTGTCACCACCCGGAGCACTGGGGAGGCCCCGCCCGCACCTCCCCGCCCTGCTGGGAACCTCGGGTCAGCGGAACCCAGGAGCAGGCCTTCTGTGCTGCGGTCGGGCAGCCAGTGCAGGAGGCATCCAGGACTCAGCACCCGGCTGATTCGGAGGAACACGGCAGAAGGTCAAGACAGGAGCGGGGTGCAATCTCAGCCCCCCAGAACAAGTCCGGAAGACACAGACACTGAAGGAACTGGAAGCCACACACCTGAAATTTCTGAAACAATAGCAATGGAAGTAAAGAGACAAATTAGGGCTTGTATTGTTTAACTTTGCATACCTGTATCTGGTAGTCCAGACAACTATGCAGGAGGATGACAATGTGCAATATACTAACTATGGTTGATTTCCTACAGCCTGGCTTTTAAATCCAATATGGTTCTCATTGTTTTGTTTCATTTTACTGTTTTGTTTTATTTAAAATTAAAATTAAAAAATATATATATGCTGAGGCAAGAGGATTGCTGTAAGTTCCAGGCCAGCCTGGACAACAAAGAGAAATTCAAGGCCAGCCTGAATTGCACAGGGAAATCCTGTCTTGGAAAGACACACGCACACACAGGCACATGCACGCGCGCATACACACACCGTGAGACACCAGGTCACACCCCTAGACTAGCCATAACCCACAGTGGGAAACAGCAAACCCGAGCAACAATCACACAGGTGGGCAGGAATGTGAAATGATACAGTTGCTACAGAACACGCTGTGGCCCAAACCAAACACCTGTCAGCTACAGTTTAAGGGAGGAGAAGTCTGTTTCGGCTCACAGTTAGAGGCTTCAGTCCATGGTCACCTATCTGGCTCCAAGACAAAAACATCACAGTGGAAATGCATGGAAGGGCAAAGCAACTCAGCTTGGGGGATCCAGAGAGCAAAGAGCAAGGAAAGAACCCCGAGAGGAAAGGCCAAGTCCCCCCACAGTCCTCAAGATCACATACCAATGACCCACTTCCCCCAAGGAAGCCCGCTTCCTAAAATCCATTCCGTTAGGAGCTCAGCAATGGCTTAGCCCACTGATGACGTCAGTGCCCTCACAAACCAATCACCTCTCCAGGAGTCTCTTAGCCCAGCGAAGTTGACAATAAAGATCACCCGGCACAGTGGTTTTCAACCAGCTGACCACATTTGACTCAGCAATGACTCCTATGTATGTATGTATGTCACACAAAACATGTACACCAATGTCCACCGCAGTTATCCATGCTTCCAAAGTGTGGGAACAAACCAAATGTCCATCAGCCAGACGAATAAACACCCCACATCCATCCAGTGGGATAGTATTCGGCCATGTAAGGGGATGAAGCCCCAGTATCTGCTTCAACAGGAATAAACTTTGAAATCATTATGCTCAGAGGAAGAAGCCAGACACATGATTCAGACAGGAAACGTCCGCTGCAAGGACATGCACAGAGGCAGATAGTGGATGAGTGGTTGCCAGGGTGTGGGGGAAGAGGGAAGTGGGGAGTGGCTGCTCATGGATATGGATTTTCTTTTAGAGGTGATGAACATGTTCTCTAATCAAATAACCGTGATAAGCATACTAAAAGTCATTGAATGACACAGGTATGTCAGTTATATCTAAAAAAAAAAAAAAAAAAGGTGAAGAAACTGTATGTCCCAGGGCAAGATAATAACAACAATCCAAGAGCAAAATACATGTAACTTCTCTGAGAAAAAGGAAGGACAGTAACAGTATGTATCCATTTTGCCTGTATTTGAATAAACGTGTTAGCAGGCTACATATGAGACCGGTATGGTTACCTACAAGGGGCTGGAGAAGGGTGGTCAGGGCTCAGGTTGGCCTCAGACTCACAGAGATCCGCCTGCCTCCGCCTCCCCAGTGCTGGGATTACAGGCTTGTGTCACCACACCAGTGACATCCTCTTGATGATTCTCTTCATCCTCTCCATATCACTTTTATCTTCAAAGTGTCTTACCTATTTTTTTCTGACCGGCACAGCCCCCCAATGAGACAGGAGACGCTTCAGGTGGTAACAGGAACTGCCGCTTTATTTACGCGGGCTCTGGTTTATATATTCGGCCGTGACCAATCACAGGCTGCCACGAGGAAGCAGGGCGGGAATGGGACGCAGGCTCTGGCTACTATACCCAGCTGTGGCCAATCAGGGGTTGCCACAGAGTCGGCACAGGGCGAATACGGAGTGAGCACGAGGTGCGCACGGGTTGGCTAATTTAGAGAGGGACGTAACACATTGCGGAAGCTGACGTGGTCTTATCGTCCCGGGCGGGGTGTGTTGAGCGCCTGCGCCCGACATTTTCCTTTTTTTAAATTTGACTGTAGAGAGAAAACCAAGCAAATTAAAACAGAATAAAGCCAACCTAAACAACAGAGTAAGTGACACAGGATTTCAAAACAAAGTAAGAGGAAATCAACAATAGTTACCATAATGTTTCTTGTCTTCAAAATAGCTGCCCAGGCCATCAGATACAACAATATCAAGATAAAACAGAATAAAACCCAAACAAACAAAACAATAAGGATGATACAGGATTTCAAAACAAGAGAATAGGGAATTAACCATGGCCACCAACCTTCAGAAGGAGACTCTCCATGGATGCTACATTGCATATTGTTATCCTCTGAACGTATGATCAGACCACCAGCTGTAGGCCTGCAAAGTCAGTGAAACACTAAACACTAACAAACACTAAGTTGTATTTCACCTCATTAGCCACCATCATAGCCTGTGTTTCTCCAGATCAGCAGGTCGCTTGCAGTGGGGGCTGGGGTGGGATTGGCTCTTCCCATCTCCCTGCAGCAGCAAAGGGCTGGTGTGTGGCTCTTCCCTGGCAGCCTGCACATGGTGCCGACTCACTGGAGGTCTTAGATTCTTTTTTTTTTTTTTTTTGTCTTTTTCCTTTTTATCGGTACCAGGGATCGAACTCACGACTGCCTGCTTGCAAGGAAGGCAGGCACTTATGCCGCTAAGCTAAATCCCCAGCCCCAAAGTCTTAGATTCTTGCAGACTTCTTGCTCTCCTCCCTTACAGTCCAGGAATCACATCTTACCTATTAACAGTACAAGTATTTTAAAAACAAAAGAAGGGGAAGGTGGTGGTGCACGCCTGTAGTCTGAGCTACTGGCAGGCTGAGGCTGGGGGAATCTGGGCTGGAGACCAGCCTGGGCTACACAGCAAGACTCCAACTCAATCGATAAATAACTCAGATCATATCATCTATCTGCTCAAACCCTACAGAATGGGACTTCCCAAATCATCTTAAATCAAAACCGAAGACCTAATAATCCTGATCAACAGCCCACAACACCTGCCCCTCTCCGTGTTGCTGACCTCCTGGTCCTCAGTGCACAGCCCCTCAGTTTCCGGAGCATGGTTTAGCACACACCGGCCTTCCCTGGCCCCTCCCTGTCTCATTTGCTCAGCCCAGCACCTGGGCCAGGGTGGTGCTTTACGAGCAAGAGTGAGTGGATGAATGAAGTAATGCATTGTCTCAGGCTGGCTGGCTGTCCAGCAGCCACTGGCATCCTTTATGCTAGCTGTAGGCAGAGTCTCTAGATGCAGGCAGTAACCAGCTACCAGAGCCTGTTGAGAGGCTCTAAGATGTACACTGTGAAATCCAGTATCTGGCCCCCACCAAACCAAGGCATGGTAACCTCCTGGGTGAAAAAAATGCCACCTTGAAATCAGTAAAGGACACAAAGCCAGTCGGTTCCACCACCATCTGCAGGGACTTGGGCTGCAGCCTTTCTTGCCATGTGAAGGTGGCTGCCATCTCCTGAGAAATGTAGGCAGAAGACAGAGAGGGGACACTGGGCTGACGGGGACAGTCGCCATCCAGCACAGAAATAGCCCTGGGTACACAGCAGCTGGGGAATCTGGGACTTAAAAGCTCAGAGCCTCCAAAAGAAATCTGGAATGAGATCTTATCTCCCTCTCCCAGGCACCTCCTGGGTCCTTCTTGCCTCCAGGGTGGCTTCTATCTGATCCCACGGTGAGGAGTTTATCTGAGCAGTTACTGTGGACTTCTCCAGTCAGACAGATCCGGGCCTGCTGCAGTCATTTATTTAGCTGCTGATCTATTAAAGGCATTTAGCCTTACCTTAATTGCCTCTACCGTGTGCCAAATGATGATCCAGTTAGGGCACGGGGCTGGAAGTGTTTTCCGGAAACAAAGCAAGGTTTTTGCCCTCGGGAGCTTGTTTGTGTCGGGGGAGACAGGAACCAAAAGTTCACCGGCCATAACAAGCTTGCGAAGACAAAACACGATGATGTCACAGTGACTGGAAGAGAGGGCAACCAAGGAGGAGCCTCTCCGAAGAGGTCACGTCATTAAACAGAATGTTGCTCTTCTAGCTCTGGGCCCAGCGCCTGGCAGTTGTTACACATTACACGTTCCACACATCCCTCCTGTCATTTTCATCAGCTTAGTGTCCCCTCCTGGAAGAACCCGAGCTCCTGGGCGGATGGGGACGAGGCTGGAGGTTTCTCACCCGCCGCGGGGCGCACAGCACTGAGCTGGCCCACAGTCGGTGCACACAGTAGGCTCGGTGAGCACTCCGGGCCCAGGCCCTGCACGCCTCTCGGGGTCCAGCACACGATCGGCGCTTGAAGGTGAGTGCCCAAGAAATGCCAGGCTCTGGCCGGGTCTCCGCCCACCGCACCGACCTATCCGCCCAGGCGGAGGTGGGGAACGACGCCTCGAGGCTCCGGAGAGGCCGGGGCCGGGCCGGCTAGGGGCGGAGCAGGGCAGGCGGGACGTGCAGCCCGCCCCACGCTTCCGCGCCCAGCTGCGCCCAGCTGCGACTCCGCCCCCGGCGCCGCGGTTGGCTGCGGCTCGGCGGCCGCCGATTGGCCCCTGCGGCTGGGGCGCGGGCCCCGATTGGCTGTGACGCGCGACCTGGCGAAGCCCCCGCCCGTGCCGCCGCCGCGCCCGGCGCTGGGCGGTCATTGGGCGGCGTGATCTCGCCGCGGTTCCGCGGCCGTGCAGCCGCCAGCGGAGTGCACCCGGCAGGCTGGGCCGGTGGCCATGGCGGGCGCCGAGGACGGGCCAGACCAGCATCCGGAGCTCGATGAGGACGAGGCGGCGTACTGCAGGCGCTGGGGCGCGCAGCACGCCGGGGCCCGCGAGCTGGCTGCTCTCTACTCGCCAGGTAAGACCTCGGCCCCCTGGGCCTGCAGTCACCAGCCCGGTGGCTTCCCGGGTCGGCATCTCAGCCCCGCGTCCAGATGGGGAGCTCCAGCCTTCGCTTCTAACTTGCAAAGAGCGACCCTAGGTCCGGGGACTCCACCTTGGCGTTCCCTTCTAAGTCTGTGTCAGAATCCCAGCCCCGGGGCTTTCTGGCTGTGGTGAAGACACTCCCCGAGTCGGGGAACTACCCGATCAGGTCCCTGGCCACGATCAGCACCGGCAGATCTGACGCTGGCTCCAGGGGCACCATCTGCTGCAGTGATCATTCTCAGACTTGGGAACCTTCACTCCAGGGCCCAGCCCAAGGCAGCTTCTAAAGTCGCATCCCCGCCTTGGTTTCCCAGATCGGGAATCTACAGCCAAGCGTTCCACCGCACCCTCGCCAGGACCCTGGGCTGCAGTGACCTCACCACCCCCCAACCTGGGAATATTAGCTCCCCTCTTAGGGAGCCTTAACTTGGGCGCTTCTGGGCTGCAGAGTGCCAGGCACCGTTCCTCCTCCATCCTAATTACTGATTCAGTGGCTGCAGACCGAAATCTTCTTCCCTCCCCCTTTGGGGACTCTCCATCAGCCCTCCCTCCCACATTCCCGGATTCTGGGAGGCTGGGTGGGGGATGCAGACTCCCCAGCTCAGGCTCCCTTCTTACACAAACCCCAATTTTGGCTTTGCCCCTCCCCCACATCCATATATTGACCCCCTCCTCCCTTAGGATTTCGGGTGTGGAACTCACATGGCAACTTAAAGAGCCTGGGTGCAGCTCTGCCTCCTTCTCACAGGCAGAGGTCTGACCCGTGCTGCTTCTGCCTTTGCCCAGCTCCGACCTGCTTCTGACTCCCAGGAATCTCCTGGAGCACTGCTCCCAGACCTGCACTCCCTGGCAAGGCCCAGTGACCCCTGAGGTTTAGGAAGTACCTTTGAGAACTCCAAGGTCAGGTGACTGGGAGTGAGGTCCCTCTGCCAGGGTGTGGGCCGTCACCTGCAGGTTTCTGTCAAGCATTCAGACATCTTTCCTTTAGCTGGGGCTGGGGGGGCCTCCTGCCGCCATCTCCCCAGCCCCACCCTGTTCACTAGGTTCCATGCAGGGTTTACAGCAAGTGGCTGCATGACCTTGGGCAGTTTGCTTTCTCACTGGCTCCTAGATCTCCAGAGACTGTCCGAGCTCACGGTTCTACGCTGTGTGCAGTTCTGCAAACCTCACTTGGGCACCTGGTCTGTGCTGCCCTGGTGCTTCCAGCCATACCCAAAACACCCAGTCCTATGGGGTGGCAGGGGGTTGATTGGGGTTCAGACTGCTAAGCTGTGTGACCTGGGCCAAGCCACTTCCCTTCCCAGCTTCTCTTTCCTCCCCTCTGACCAAGTGCAAAGTAGTTTGTCTGCCCTTTCCTGTCATCAGGGAAAGGACACATATTTGTCGTCAGCACCTTTGCTATGAGCCGGCATTGAGCTCTCTTGTGGCCCTTAGACTTCCCACTGGGATGCTGGAGGAGTCAAGGCCCTGCTTTGGGGGTCAGGTCTGTCTTCCTGCCTGCTTTTAACAGAGCATCTCCCAGGCAGCCTTAGCCTTCCCCAGGGACTGCCAGCTCGCTTCTCTGTCACAGTCTGTCTCTGTCCACTCCTGGGTTCCCAGAGTGCCTTTCTTTCTGCAGAATAATCACACAAGTATCTGAGGCTGCAGTGTCTCCTGGGTGTCCCAAACCAGCAGCTTTTCTCTCCTCCTGACCTGCAGGGGTACTGGGGAGACTAGCTAAACTGGTTCTTTGAAATCTTTTTCCCTAGGCTTACCTTGGTGTGCCTCTGTGTGCTGTGTGGCCTTGGGGAAGTACCCTGACCTTTCTGAACTTGAGCAGTAAAGGAGAGACCAGGCTTAACATACACCAAGCACCTACATTCCAGTCCCGGGGGCAGGCCCTAGGAGCAGAGCACCAACATGGAAAAACTGGACCTGGCATTTTAGTTAAGACAAGCCACAGACCCCCAAATAAAGGAAATGTCTCACCCGCTTAGTAGTGACAAGTGCTCAGAACAAATATATAGCAGGAAAGGGGGAAAGGAAAATACTCAGGAGACGGTGACATTGCAGAAAGCAGGCAGTTCAGGTCCTGCTGAATAGATGACATTTGAACAGAGACCCAGCAGGAGAGGAAAGGAAGGGATTTTGAGAATATCTGAGGAAGAGTTGGTCCAGACCAGGAAGGCAGCAGGTGCAAAGACCCTGAGGTGGCCATACTCCCAGCACCACTGGAGAGCACAGAGAGCAAGAGAGAGTTCCTGGGCTCTGGGACTGAGCTGAGACTCCTGGTGCTGGAGGCGGTAGGGCCCTGACAGCCGACAGCAGTACTAAGGGCAGTGAACTCAGCAGCCTTTATTAGGCACTGACTGTGTGCGGGCACTTCCCACACATGCTCTCGGCTCATCTCACTCTGTCATGCAAAGTGCACCTGCATTGACCCTGTTTTCTAGAAGAGGAGGCTGAGACCCTGTGGCTGTCCTCACTACCCCACACACGGGCTCACGCTCTTCCCCAAGCGCTATCCTGACTGGGATTAGGTGGTGCCTGCCCCCAGCAGCTGGGAAGTCCAACAGGGTTGAGGGCATCTGTTGGGTTTGCCTGGGTGCCTGCTTGAGGAGCGCCCTGTCCATCTCCGTCAGCAGAGAGGGATCCACCCCAGTTCACATGGCAGAACTAGAACACTGTGGGGACATTCTGGGTTCCGGACTCTTAACCTGCCTGTGCAGGGGAGCCTGTCAGGACCGGGTACACAGGCGGGACCGGCTGCTCCAGGCAGGCAGAACAGATGTGTGCAGGCCCTGAGGCAGGGAGCTGCGTGGGGCAGAGGGGACCATGAGGGCTTAGAGCACCTGGTCCTGTGACCCCAAGTGTCTGGGTGAGGAGTTGGGTCACCCCACTGGGACCAGGAGCCACAGAGGGTCCTGCACAGCCCTCACTCTGGGTTTGAGCTTCCTAGCAATGAGCTACCTACGGTAGGTGTCAGCTTTGGGAAGGGCCTGGTGACAGGCAGGCCAGGGCCTGAGGCAGGTATCTCCTCCCAGAGATGCTCGCTGGAACCTGGCTGTGCCACTTCTCAGAGGCCTGGGCCCTAAAGGTGGATGCAGCCTGAAGGGGCCTGGGTCTAGCTGTCCATCTGCCTGGCCAGCTGTGGCTGCCTCTGTCCAAAGGGCACCGGAACACGTCAAGGGGTTGAGGGTGTCAGGACAGAAGGTGGGTGTTGGGGAATGGAGAGGGGGCATCAGCTGATGCTGCTGCATGGGGTGGCATAAGAGCAGGAGCCTGGGGCTCACCCACATGGCCTCCCCCAAGCCAGAGGATAAGGCCTGAGGGCGGCTGAGCCCTGGGGCTGCCCGGGCCTGGCCCCTGCCGCATGCCAGCCAGGCTTGCTGTCTTCTGTCCCTGGTTCTGCTTTTTCTCTCCCCGTCTCTCCTGTCTCTGCTTTTTGTTCTTTTGGTCTCTGTGGCTCATCATTCTCTGCTTCCTGCTCTCATCAGTGTGTCCCCCTCTGTCTCTGGTCCCCAGCCTGTGTACTTCCTGGCTTTCCCCTTGAAGTCAGGGGACCCTTGGTGCCCGGGACTGTGGAAAGCACAGGTTACTTGTCTTGACCCAAGCAGGAAGAGACAAGCCCGATGCAACCCCTTGCCTGTGGCCTGGCCCTGAGAAAGGGAGATGGCAGAGGCCTGCACGGCCGCCCACCCCTCCCACTTCACACCCACACGCACCAGCCCTTCCCTAGGCCAGCAAGTGGTCACTGCCGTGGTGCTCACATCATCATGCCTGCTAGGCCAGGGCTGGTGGGCAGCGGGCTCCAGAGCTGTAGCCAGAGGACAGGCGGGCCTCCCTGCCCTCCGAGCCCGCCCCGGCCTCAGCCTGCACATCTGTCCCGTGACCACCTGGCTCAGCGGCCTGCCAGGCTGATGATCTATGCCACGACTCGAGGCCCTGGAGCAGCTTCATGGTTCCAGGCTATTTTGTCCCCTTGAAGGACAAGTGAGGATGGTCCCCGGGCGACAGGGTCTGCTGAAGGGTGACAGACCATTTGCAGTCCTGAGCCAGCAGAGCCAGGGTACTCTGCTTGTTACCTGTGTAATTTTCATGGATCAGGACTGAGGTACTCAATCTGCAGAGATGGCGTTGCCTTGGCAAATGTTCAGACTGCAGGGACCTTCTCCAAGGTGTAGGAGAGAGCTGGGCCATCTCTGGGGTCAGGACAGTGCAGAACATCCAAGCCGCTATGTCCCATTTCTGAGTCTGGAATCCTCACCCAAGTCTAGCCTCAGTTTCCTCATCTAGACAAGTGGGTTACACAGTTCCTTCCTTTTTAGAGCTAAGACTTGACTGCGAAGCCACATTGCAGGGAAGGACACTCTGATGACCACAGGAGCCCAGCCAGGGCTGCCCCCAAGTCTTGCAAGGACACAGGGAGGGGAGGAGCCCTGTGAGCCTGGAGCTGGTGCCATCACATGGGGTGAAGTCCCTTGAGGGTACAAGAATTTGTGTTTTGTGGGTCTTTTGGCTTGTTTGTTTGTTCTGAGATGGGGCTTTACTCTGTAGCCCCAGTGGGCCTTGAACTCATGGTCCTCGTTAGTGC